ATATCTTAGTATGTTATATATTTATATATACTAGGGCGTTATATATTGTATTGGGGTTTGTGCATAAGGATGTATTTATATGTATAGATGTATAAATATGTATACATATATGTATAACATATACTTTATGCATATATATTTCATATATTACACATACGTATATGTATACATATGTGTATGTTTATACACACATGTCCCCACATTAAATACTTATTTGGAGTTCGTGTTTTTATTGTCTGAGGGTATGCTGTTTTACATGTTGTTCTGCAATTTGCTCAGACAGGGATACCGTATACTAACATACGTGTGAGTGTTAACGAACATAAAAGTCAGGACACACTCAGCTGATAAACTGCTTCTGGGGAGGGGAGAAAGACCAAGATTGGGTGTGACAGTCAACAGAGACCTCCTCATGGACAGTCCAGAGGGGTGGCCGGGAGCGAGGCCGGGACTACGGTGGTGCAGAGGCCATCGCGCGGGGGAGCCACCCTTGTCCACCAAGCGCCGCGGGCCGCCGCCCGAGGACGAGCCCACCAGGGCGCATGCGTTGAAGGTGTCGAGTCCTTGATAATCTTTAAGAGTATAAAGGGAGCAGGGAGCAGGGAGTGCCTGTAGTCCCAGCTACTCAGGAGGCCGAGGAGGAAGGATCACCTGAGCCCAGGAGTTCGAGACCAGCCTGGGCAATACAGCAAGACCCTATCTCAAAAAGTTTAAAAAAGGTATAAAGGGGTCTGGAGACCAAAAGGTCTGAGCGCTGCTGCCCTATACAATCTGGCTCATGCAGAATCATCCAACATTATCTCTCCTTACTCTGACTTCACTCACTGTGGCAGCTTCCTCAGCAAACCAATCTTTTCCCCACCCCAGGGCCTTTGCACATGCCCCTTGCTCTGCCTGGAACTCTGCCCCAGTCTCTGCACAGCTGGCTCCCTCGATATCCTTTAGAGTGTCACAGAGGCCATCCTATGGGAACCAGATGCCCCGGCCACCACCATCTGATTATTTTCTATTGTTTTGTTCACAATTATTCTCACTTACTAGGATTTTATTTATTGCCAGTTTACTTATTCTGTCTCCCTCCATAAAATTATGAGCCCCACGAAGGCTGGGACCTTGAACTCCTGAGCTCAAACGATCCACCCGCCTCGGCCTCCCAGAGTGCTAGGATTACAGGCGTGAGCCACCGCGCCCGGCCTTACAATTCAGTTTTAATGTGACTTGTGACTATCATATTGGACAGTGAAGCATAGAACATTTCCATCATTGTAGACAGTACTAATGAACAGGAAAAAAAGTGTCCTTCTCTTTCCCCCCACCTTCTTGCTGGCTGGAATGCACACCCAATGGCTGGAGCTTCCACAGCCATTTTGTACCATGAGGTTTCTTGGGCCTAGAGGCCAGACATCGAGAAGAAATAAGACAGAAGGGGACTAGGTCTCCAGCTCTACAAAGCACCAAACTAGCCCTGGACCACCTTCTGAGACTTTATGAAGGAGAGAAAGAAACTCCTAAATGAAGCCACTGTTATTTGGGGTTTTCTCTTCGCTCCCTTATCCTGACTCATAAAACCATGCTCCTGTGGAACCCTATGCAGGAGGTGCTTTCCAGAAACTGCCATCCATCCCTCCAGCTTTTGAGGCCCCATCCTGGAGCTCACAGAAGCCCACCTTCCCATCACCCTCCCACTCCCCCCCGGGTGAACTCCCACCTGCATCTTCTGGCAGTCGGGAAAGTCCCCAGGAGATATGTGATGCTCCAACTGGATCTTAGCAAAGATGACAGGCAGTTTGAGGATCAGCTGCTTCTTCTTGTTCTCCTTCCCGAACACGGAGGGCATCTCCTTCTTCAGGTAGCTGATGATGTACGCATGAACCTGCGGGAGAGGAGTTGTCACCTGAGCCCGCATCAGAGTCCCCCGGCGGCGGGCGGGGGGGAGGCTTGGTAGAACCCAGGTCGCCGGGCACACTCCCAGAGTTTCTGACCCACTTGGTCTGGGTGGGGCACAAGAGTGTGCATTTCTAGCAAGTTCACGGCAGCTGCTGCTGCAAGTGGCAGGGCCATGGCCACGCTGTGCGCCCCACCTCTTCCCACGCTGGGGCTCAGCCTGGGCTCCTCCTCTCTGCTGCGTGATCTCAGCCCCTCCCGGCTCTAAACACCCCTCCAAGGCGCCCACTCCCAAATCTACACACCAGCCAACGCCTAAGCTGTGGTCCAGGGAACCGCAGGGGTCCCAGGGGCCCTTTCGGGGACTCCCCTGGTCAAAACTATTTTAATAACAATAGTAAGACTTATTTGCTTTTGCACTCCCAAGCAGACAGTGGAGTTTTCAAGAGGCTACAAGACCTGTGATATCCAGACGGACAAACAGAGGAACAGATATGAGAATCCTGAAGCCAGACATTAAAGAGTTTTGCAAAACTGTAAAACAGGCTACTTTCCTTGCTTTCTCTGAGGAGGGGTGAAAATTGGTAATTTTGATAAAATGTTATTTAGGTTAACAGGTGATAAGTTTATTTTTGTTATTTTTAAATGATCTTATACCATTATTATTATGCA